AATAGATATTAAAAAAAATAATATAATATAAAATAAAAAAAAAAAAATTTTAACAATTTAAACAAAATTATTAAAAATTAAAAAAAAATTGCAAACTCAAAAGACTTACAACAACTACAAATAGTTACAATGCAGTTATAAACCGCACAGCTTGTGCTGGCCAACGCTAATCCTTTCGTTTTCGTTTCCATTTCTACAAATATTTTTATTCCGCTTATTTAAATAGTTAAATTTTAGAAATTGCGCACAACAGTAACTAACAATTTAACATAAAAGCTTAGAAACGTAGCTAAAAATTTTTGTTTATACCGTCACAAACAAGCAAAAATACTCGTTAAATCGGCCATCAGTGGGTTAAATACGCAAGTAGTAAGTACACGAATTGAATTAATTAGCTTGTTGTTGTTGGTGTTGTTTATTGCTGTTCCTTGCTTAACTATCACGTATATACACATACATATGTATGTATATAAGCATACATATGTAGTTATTGAGACTTGCAGCTCACGATGCTACTAACATTCAGTCATTGTTTTCAAAACTAATCACCGTAATTCACCACATCATAGCACCAAATTGTAGTTGCGATTAATCATGACTTCATCTAGTGTTTGCATATGGTTTACAGTTTTATTCTTGATAGAAGACAGCATTTGCTGTTCTCATGTTAAAATTTAATGCATGTATCTTACATTTGTAAATTCGTACTTATTGCTGATGGGAAGCTGATGATTATATTGTTAGTTTTGTTGTTGAACATTTTGAAAACAATTTTGCGCTCTTTACGAATTATTTAAGTAGCAAGTTGTTGTATATTTCTTATACCATAAACTTTAAATTCATGCAAAAATATTGAGTTCCCTATTTTACTTCGAGCTTAGTAATTTAAATGCTAATATTCTTAGTTTTTGGACTATCGACGTTGCCATAATTAAAAAGAATTCTTGTAGCAGTATGTGGATGCAGCCTGCTCTGAAAAAAAGTTGCCCAAAACTATTTTCAACACCTCTTGCATATTTTAAAATTATAGAAAATTCTTCCTTGATAAATAATTAAATCACCAGAAAATTTCCAGAAACTCTTGAGCACCGGATTCAAGACTGCACAGCAATCAGTAGACGCAGGTATAAGGCCCTTAGTTCTATATATCCCTCTGGTTTCAGTGCAAGCTTTAATTTATTTCGAATCTATTTTCTATTTCCAGAAAATGTTGTAAAAAATATTTCTTGCAGTCCGCAAAGCAAAAAATTTAACAGCTGTTTGCCATTATTTTATAATATCCAAAGGTTTAACAAAAATTGTACAAAATGCACTATATAGAAGGAAAGTTTTGTTTTCTCTATTTTTATAGAAGAGAAGCCGGTCAAAGTGATACTAATTAATTTTGTATACGAGTATTAAGGGATTATATCATATACTTTACACTTGTGTTAGTCGAAAATATCCAAAAAAAATGTTTATTGCATTTTCTGAAAGTATATCCCTTTCATATTAATTCTTCTAAATTTCACAAAGATCTGAGCGCTAGAGGCAAAGTTACAGCTGCCAACAGCGGGTGCTCCCAAGTACGTGCCAAAATTTTAACGCATTTATCTCAAGATGATGTTTTTCAAAACGTACCGTTGCTGTGAACAAGGTTTATCATATAACCTCACCGCTTATTGCAAAATAAAAAAATCTTAAAAAAAAAACAATTTTCCCAGAGAATAACTGTTTATAATTCCTTAATGATATGATTTATTAACTTCAAAAACCCCTATTTCAAATGCATGACTCGGAAATAAGTTCTCATATACCATAGTAGAATTTCAATAAACCTTAAGATGTTACCGAGAAGCTCAACGATATTCACAGGTTTTTTGTTTTGAAGCTCTAAAGAAGTATATAACTTTTGAAAGCATCGTCATTCCTTCACAGAAGGAAGACTAATTTCACTATTGTTTACCTCACGCCGATCAAAGACTGAAATATTTTAGTTGAAAGAAATATTATTTGTAAAAAAAAAATCTATTTAAAATGTAACTAAAATATGACGAATTTAGGATACGAAAATAGTTTTCTACTCAATAAAAACACAACTTCCGTCCATAGACTCTTTCCTGTTCGTGTATTTTGAGAGAGACCGTTTTCGAAACCAGTTGAGAGAGGATGGTATTCCATCCAGTCGAAGATATATAATTATAATGGAGACAGTTAAAAAGAGTTTTGGCAGTAGCCTGGCGGATAGAGCTCTACTATGTATGTGGAGATATTTGTGTTAAGAAAGCCGTGTTGTTGAGAGGTCTGCGCTTTAGTTTCTGAGTTGATAGCTCAATGTTTTAATTTTGAGGTTTAAAAATTTTAGGAGTCGAAACTGAAAATTATGTAGAATGATTCTATGTTATGACCAGT